AATGGCAGGCCTAGAAGCAATCGCACACACCTCCAAGCACACAGACACACACATGCACGGCGGGCCTCTTGGCTTAGCGCGTTGTGTGTTCCGCGCACCACGCCACCACCACCACCACCACCACCCCGTTCTCGGTGCCTTCCCCCTCCCTTTCATCATCCAATTCACCCATTCATTTCCTTAGCCGCACGTGAAGTGCACAACCCCTCAGCCCTTCCCTCTGTTTTTTTTTCCCTGTGCATGCGCTTCCTTCGCTACACCATCACTGCCCACCCGTGAGAAGGTAGGCGCACACACACACACACACACACACACACACACACACAGCGCCTCTCCACTACACGTCTTCCTACTCGCCCCCTCGCGGTGCCGTGGAAGAGGCGGAATCACCAGCGCCAGCAGCGGGTGCGTGGGCGCTCATTGGGCCGTCCTTGCCCTTCTCCCAGTACTTCGCGAAGTACGCCCACGAGTTGAGCAGCAACGACACCGCCTTTCCCTCCGCGGAATTGATCTGCTCCTCCGTGAGACTGTTAAGCTCGCTCCATGCATCTAGCTCAATCTGCTTCTTTCCGTTCGGCCCGCCGCCCGTTTGGTGCAGCCGCTTGAGCTTGTTCACGCGCATGGCCACATCGAGCGCTGTCACACCGCTGCCGCCAGCGGTGGCGCCCGCACTGCTGCTGTTCGCCGTCGGCGTCACCGGCGGCTCTGCGGCGGTGCGGAGCGTTGAGGAGACGTGCAGGCTGCGACACTGCTGCTGCAGAGCAACGCACGTGGAATTTCTTGCGGGAGCACACAACGCGGCAGCGGCGAAGACGCTGACGGGGAGCAGCGGCTGCTGGTGGTGTAGTCGGATGCCCCACGCGGCACTGGGGCGGTAGTGGAGAAGCACACTCTGGCTACGCTTCATGTCTGACTCCTCTGTTTCTCCCGCTCTCTCACTCTCTCACACACACAAGCTATTTCTCTCCTGCCCTTTCACGGAGGCGGTGAATACGACGCAACTACGGTGCAAGAAGAAACGCAACCAGAAGGAAGGGGAAAGGCAAAAGGAAGAAAAACAGTCGTTGTGCGTTCATTCCTTTCTGCATCTGCATAGATGCACACACACACACACACACACACACACAGGCATGTATGTGTGCGTGTATATATGCCACAACGCCGACAGGTTGCAGGAATGTAACGGCTCAAGTGAAGCGCCAGTCACCCAAGCCCCTCAACGCGGCCGGCCACGTTTATGAAGCAACACGGAAGGGAGCAATGCTTTCGTTTCTGTTGTCCACATTATTTGTCGTTTCTCACCCCGGTCTTCGTCTGTCTCTTTCTTTGACTTTCAGTTGCCTTCCTTCTGTTCGCTTGTCTGTCTGTCTGTCTTTCTCTCTCTCCCCTCTCTCCCCCCGCGGTGCACACACTCACCCACTCACACAGACGCAGACGCAGGCAGCCGATGCACACACAAGGGCAGCAGATCCATTCTGATTTCATTTTTTTTTTGTGTGTGTG